CCCCAAAACCCCAAAACCCCAAAACCCCTTCTAGTTTAAATAAAATTGAAATATTTACAACAATGAACGAATTTAAGAAGCAGTTCATGCAAGAAAAGGATGAGTGGGATAAACATGTAGAGGAGTGGTCACAAGCGTCCACTGCTGTTTATACTCATGATGAAGGCAAATCTGAGGTAAAATAAGAAGCAGGCAAAGACTAGAAAAGTGGAACAGCCTAAAAAGAAATCTCAGAAAGGCCCATTGCAGCATGATAAGAAGTATAAACTTACTGAATCAAGAATAATCGGAGGTTCATTTGGACCTGCGCCTGCTAAAAGATTATCTGGCGTCAAGGAAGATAATCGAGAGATCCTCTATCCAAATATTAACACCACGCATGGATGGAATAAGGGTACAGCAGTTATGAGGCCACCTTTAAAGAAAAAGAAAGAATTCCCAAAGAAACCTATAAAGAAGACTGCAAAGATCCCTGAAAAGGATAAAGGAAAGAAGTTGAAAACCTATGTAGATACTACTAATGTTGATAAGGCTGTGAGACCAAATTCGAATGCTGTTTCCTTTGGCAAACCTCCTGGAGAATTTGAATCTGAACTCGAGAAAGTCAAGGATCTCTTCAGAAAGCTTAAGCAAGACAAGCACAAACTCAGTGGTGTCTCAAGTTATAAGGTTAGCCATACTCAAGTTGAGCCTAGCATTCATGGTGTTATAATGAAAAAGCCTGCTGAAAGATCAGAAGCTTTAATAATGAAAGACCTAGAGAAAAATAGAATCCCTGGTCCTGGAAAATACTATGCTGATGATAGAGTTCTCAAAGAGAAACAACCAGAGTTTACATTCAAGAAGGAGGCTAAACGGAATAAAACACCTCCGATTGATCGAAGGAAACAACTTATCGTGAATCTTGATGCTGTTCGGAGAAAACCCAAAGTTGCAAAAATCATGCCAGAACATGCTCCCAAGAAAGACAAAACAATTGAAACTGCAAAGTTAGGGCCAGGAGCTTACAAACTCCTTCATAAGCACACAGAACCAAGGAAGGATGCTGGCACTGTGAAATGGGTTCCAGAAGAGGAAAAAGATGCTAAAATAGATGAGAGGCCTGAACTTGAACCAGATTTTGATCATGATAAACCCAACAAAGGAGTCCCTCTGTACAAAGAGCCTACAGATGTGAAGCCTTTGTGGACACCTGACAAGGAGAAAAATCCAGAACGCTGGAAATTTTATGATCAGAATCTCGACGCAATCAAAGAGGTTCAAAATGCAATGAATTTCGCTGAAAATCTCTCTCGTGATGATTTCATCTCCAAGGATGAGTACCTAAAGGATTTGGAGAAATATAAGGAAAGACACACTAAAGCTCCTGATATTTACTCATATGATTATAAAGAAAAGGACACTAAAATTCAATTTGATTTTGGAAAATTAGAACCAAGAACAAAGTATGAAGACAAGGATCTCCTTGAAGAGTTCGATAAAGAAGGAGACATGCTTAATCTAGAGGGAGATAAACCTAAGAAGAGAATCCCGGGTTTCAACTATGATAAAATGAAAGGAAGATTTGACTCAGAGGGACTCTTAGATGATGACCAAGGTGATGTCCTTGATCTAAACCCTTCTAATAAGCTTACTAAGAAAAGACCTATTTCATTGGTCGATATTGAGAAGGATAGGAGTAGGGAGCCTCAGAAATATGATGAGGATGATATCCCAGATAACTTCCTGAATTATGAAAAGACTATCCCTGATGATCCAGGAGAGCCGGCAGCCCAAGCGCATAATTTCGGAAAACCAACAGAGAGGTTTAGAAAGCAAGGTTTGATAGATGATGAAACTAAAGAAGAGCTGATTCTCGATCCTGAATTTCCTAAAAGGAATGTACCAACTTCCAACTTTGGAAAAGCTGAGAGAAGGTTCAAACCACCAAGAGTGCCCATTGATCCATGGGAAGATGAGAAGCCTACAACCGAGGTATTGATGGAACAAAAAGATAAGAAAGCAATCTGGAGTGCTATTACACACAAAACCTCTGGACACCACCGAGCCTAAACTCACACTTTCCCCAACTTCCAAAATTTCAACCATATTCTATCCAAAAGGGGTTTTGGGGTTTTGGGGTTTTGGGGTTTTGGGG